ATATTCACACACAAAACCAATCATCCAAAAATAATGTCTCAGCAGTTAATTCCCTCTTACGGGCTTGTCAAGAAACAGAACAACACATAGGCTAAATACTGAAGAGCAAGCCACAACAGCAAACTTCCTGGCAAGTTTATTTGCTGGCATTTGTAAATCCACAGAGAAAGTGTAGTGCAATCAATACAGCTGAGGCCCGAGTTCTAATTAGAGCCTTCTGTTTGAAAACAGGTTTTCTTTAAACACTCCATGGCTAGGGGTAGTGATAGAAAATTCCCTAAAAATAAGAAAATGGTTCATTAGTGTTCCTGGAAACAGAAGATCAATCTGCCCTTGTGAAAGTTAATGAATACACAGAAATATCACATCACGACCCCTGATCTCAGCGCCTGAGGCACCACTGTTATTATGCACTATCCAGGATTGCTCAGCAACACGACTCAGATACAACACTTATTGCATTAATTTCATCTGTGTGATTATTTAAATTAATGACATTCTGGCTGCGAGTCACAAACTTCAAGAGATGTTCATCTGCTTAAATATTAATTAATCATGCTTTTCTGCTGTAAGGTGTGATAAGGGTAAGCAGAATTAAATGCTAACAGTTTTAATAACAAATATCAGCAACAGCCCAAACACAAAAAAAAAAAAAAAAAAAAAAAAAAAAAAAAAGAAAAAAAAAGCTGATTCGCTCAGAGGAGTGCTGAAACAACTCACTTAAACCCCTACCCCCCCCCCCCACCCCCCTTGCTCAAGGAATCAAAAAATGTATTGTCAAATCTTGGTCAAGAAAAAAAGTATAAGATCTCCTACATAAAGAAAATTTAAAAAAAAATGCATTATGATGAAAATACCCACTTATTTTTTTAATATTTTTTAAAGCCCCAGGCCTCAGCGCTATCCCCAGACACAACCAGCTTATCAAGCATGAAGCTGCCTGAAATGCAAAGACACAGTTCCAAAAATATGGCCTTGAGTAGCCAGAATGCTACTTGCTATTGCTCCATGGGATGGCCAGAAACACTGGCAGAGCCAAGGAAATCACACGGTTTCTTCCCTTAATGAGGGGGCAGCAGCCAAAAGTGTCCCACCAGCACCCATCCTTCCCAGGTTGTCCTTCCTTGGCTGTGCAGGGCAGCCTGGGGCAGGCTGGAGGTGCCCCTCTGCACGGCCACAGCACATCTGCTTCCATCCAAAAAGTTCACACAAGGGACCAGCTGTTTGTTTCAAAAGTGGATTAAAGCAGGCTCTTGGGAATTCTGGACCATGCTACTGGACTTTCCCTGGCTAGTCATTTCAAACAGTTTCAAAAACAACAATAAAAACAACAACAATAAACACATTCTAGGGTTTCTACTCCACGATTCAGAAACCTGAACAATACTGCAAAAAGGCTGGTATGATATCTGCATATCCAAAGTAATAGGAAAGCCAGCCATTTCCAGTTGCTGTGTACAGATGAAGTTCAAGTACCTGTTCAAAAAGACTTCTAGACTGTGGTTGCTAAAGAGGAAAAAAAAAAAAAAGTATTGCCAATTCAAGAAAATATGATAACTAACTTAAGGGATCTCTACAATCCTTTTGAAGAGATTTTACCTTGCATTGGGCTTTCCTCCAAAGACAGAAACCAGCCTCAACCTTCTGTTAATATCTAAATAGTTGAAGACCCCCCCAGCTAGAACTGTTGGGCAAGGATGCCATGGGGATGGGAACCATGGTGAGCTATAAGGTGGCTGGGCCAGGCTGTTCATCTAGCTCAAAGGCCTCGATTGACACCATGTCCCTTTGTAACATGAAATGGAGAGGGCGTCATCCATCCCATTTCTGTAGCAGCACAGCAATGAGCAGTACTTCCCGCTGCCCTCTATGCTATTTTAGATAACAGCATTTGCATTCTGTTACCTGTAATGTCTAAGAAAAAGCAATGCAATTTGAAGTCTTGACATGATGTGTTTTTTCATTTCCCCTAATGTACTTGATTCCAAGATTAGCCTTTTAAGATCATTACCCACCAAGTTCTGCCACAGCAGCCTGGGCTGTCTCCATCTACCACTGTGCTATTATCTGCTTGCTGGTTCTTAGCTGCTCAGAAGACAGAGGAACTTTTCTTAGGATGGATATGAAAAGTGGGGTAAGCAGCTCTACGCTTGCTTTTCAGCTTCTGAAATATTTCTTTTAGTCCTGAAACATTTCTTCCTTCTCCGCTATTATAACTTGAAGACCGGCCACTGGTCTTTTGTGGGATTAAAGGGATGGGAGAAGACACTCCTGCCTGGTCTTTGAAATTGCACAGCATTCCTTGGAGTTGTATGAATGGGAGAGGTTATAGAGAGCCAAAAAGCTGCTCTCTAGGATGATTTTGCAGAACATTTTTGCACCTTTGAAACATTTATCTAGGAAGATCTGTGCACATTTGAGAAAGAGCAGGGTTGAAGGATACAAAAGGGCATGCTGGAATTTGGTGGAGCAATTGAAGCTACTTTGCAAAATTAGGCAAAAGTTAGAGAAAAGTCCAGAGCTTTTCATGCACTAATCCTTGAATCCATGGTAACTCTGAGGCCCACAGCTCTACAAACTGATTTGCAGCATATTTTCTGATGTATGTCTCTGAAGAGTGCGGCTTGGTCACCTGGAAGATTTCCACTCAAGTTCTGCATCCATCTTCACCAGGGCACCAGGTACCACTGGCACCCACTGCACACATGATGGCACAAACACAACTACTGTAGTCTCAACAATTCCAAATACAGTGAAAACCTTTCCTGCACCAGAAAGCCAGTGATGATGGGAGTAGCAAACTGGCTTCCTTTCTTCAGCTAATGACCTTGCTAAATAAGCAAGGCAGTAATGATGCCAAGATTAACGTCAGTACAACAAATCAAAATGAATTTCTTGATATCATATCATACACAAAGCAATCCAAAGCAAAGTTACTTTTAGGACTTCCCCCCCATCCTTCACCAACAGTTTCATGAGAAAGAATAATATCAGAGCTGGATGATTTAATGATCCTTCATTTAAAGGGCAAAGTTAGTGTGTTTTTTGTTGTTGTTTTCTTCACAATTTGACTGTTCACCAGTTGAAGTCTTAGTGTATCAATCACAGCATGAGTGAGAGGTGAATAAAAGCATTTACTGAGCTGTCATATCCATGATAAAACAAAAGATGGTGTTGCTGTCAGCTCTAAAGGGAATACATTAGCAGGAGCAAACCTGAAAAATAAAGACCTATTAGTCGTAATATGCCTTTCAGTCACTTCTTTATGTTATCAGCTCAGCTTTGAAATAAAGTCAACATAATCCTTATTCACAGATTAATCTTATCTTTGCACTAAGGTGTAAAGCAATAATGACATTTGTGTTTTGTTTTTTTTCTCTCTAGAAAGACATTTACCTTCACTAAACTTACTGGTTTGCTTTTCTGAAAGGCTCCCTCACCTTCAGTTCTTTAATGACAACACTTTTAGATGTAATAAACTCATCTATAATGAGTTTATTAAACTGATTCACTGATATTAAGCCCATGCCAGTTAAAATTAAAAATAAATAAATAAACACTTACTAGAGTGACTGCTTACATCAGGACACTGTAATAAACAGAAAAGCTGAATCAACTTGGAAACGTTTGCTCCTTCATTATTCCCAGTGCACATGTAAGTTTAATAAAGAAAGCTAAAGATATTGTATAGCACACAGCAAAACCAAGAGCTGAACTATCCCCAAGTGTCAGCACTGTACCAGGGCTATTTGTAGTAGCTGAGCAGGTTAGCTCGGGATCAACCACCACACATGGCTCCAGCTGAGACCTTGCAAGGCTTAAACAGAGCTGAAGAATTATTTCAGCTGTCTTGAAGGCTAAATGCTTTTACATTCCCTTATGACGTCTACATGTTCTGCAGCAACATAGTCTTGTTGCCTCATGTTCCATTTGCAGTCTGCTGTAACACTTCACTTCCTAAAGGGCTGCTGCCTTGGTTTTCTTTCTGTTGTGTATTTGGGTAGTCAGTTTGCCTTACTTAGGCACCTGTCCCCATGGAATTTCTCCAATTTGTCCAGATCATTTTGAATTCAGTCTGGATCTCCTTTTTCTCCAACATTGAAAGCATTTCTCTGAAACTAAGTCTACTTCATGTATGTCATGATCAACACCCCATACTCCCAGTCTGCTTCATATTCAGAATTATGAATATCTTCAGCCAAGCTTAAGATATTTGCTGTTTTTACTCAAACCATAAGACCTCTGTCATAGGAAAAAATCAGCTTGTCCTGAACCATTTCACTCTCTACAAATCTTCTTCAGTCACTGTGTTTTCTTCCAGGATATCAGCTGAAAGAATAACTGCAAACATTGTACATACCTAAAAAAACGCAACCATCATTAGAATTTTATCTCATTTTTTCATTTTAAAATATGCAGAGACCAAACTCCCCAAACAGGCAACCGAAATAAGACCTAGTCCTTAAGCTTGTAAAGTGAGCAGCAATAACATGGTTAGAGATGATCAGCTCAACTTCAAACCTGACAAGGCATTCTTAACTCAAAAGCCTTTTAACAAAATGATTTAACTATGCTCACCTGAATGCAGTATTTCTCTTGTATTCAGGATAATCATAGCTTTCTTTCTATAGCTGCTACCTGTTTCTGACCATCTTGTACAGCATCCAGCAGTCAACTAAGCTATTTTTGAACATTTTTCCTGTTAAACGAAGATGCCAGTGCCAATCTATAAAAGTAGTACCTAACATGGATGCTGTCACAAAACAGAAAAATGTTTTCTGCCACAAAGTGATTTATGGCATTGTGAGATTGTTGAATCACTGCTCTATTTCACCAGCCCCAGCCCCCCCTCCCCCTCCCCAGTTAATAGTGTTGCCTCAGGTAGGAGGGGAACCCAAAGCAACCCACTGCCCCCATTCATGCTCCCTCCTAGTGCCCCAGTGCCCACACAGTAGCCCTGTTCATGAGGTTGACAGTGACAAGAAGTGCTGTACTACAGATTAAGTCGGAATTATTTTTATTTTAAACATTTACAGAGATGGAAATAAATACAGGAAGTAGAAGATAGAGTGTGTGCTTTCAAAAGAAATCAATCAAGTTTCCATCAGGCTTCAAACAGGGAAAAAAAAACGTATCCAATAGCTGCTCAAAACTGGCCACTATTTCAAAGGTCAGGGGTTATGCTGAATGGTAATGTCAATAACTGAAGATAAGCATTACAACAGACAAGGATGACAGCTGACATCAGGGAACCAACAGCCGTAACAGACAAAATGGAACCACACCACAACAGGAGAGTCTCATATTTACAACATACTTATACAAAAAACATTTGGAAATATTTAGGGAGTGACTTCTCTGTCCAGCTGTAAGATACAAAAGAAACACTGGAGGGTCTGATGGTTGCATTCCCCTCCTCAGTATCTACAGAATCATTTTAACTTTTGACAAAGTTTGAAAAAAAAAATTGTACTGCAAGAATTTTTCATCCAACTTGAACTTTTCAGTGTTTCTATCCTTGCTTGCCATCAGTGTCATCCATCAGGGCAGTTTGTCAGAAGAGTTTGTAAAGTTCTTCACAGTCCTTTATCGATGGTCTGATCTGTAGGTTGGAAAAGTGTCCGTCCGATGAAGCTTCACTGGGCTAGAAACATCTTGTCCAAATCAGATGCAAAAAACAGAACACTCAGTAAGGCAGAGGTATCATACTCAGCACTTTATAAAGGACTATGTTAAGTACAGATTATGGTCTTTTAATTATACTTATCCCTGCTTTCCCTCCTGCAGAACCAGAAGTTGTACAATTATTTATTTATTTATTTACTTTTAAGTTGACTGCATGTTGAATGAAAAGCATACTTTATTAACTTTTTTTTTTTTTTTTTTTTTTTTTTTGGGGGGTGGGGGTACATCAGAAAAGGGAAAAAGAGCCAATTCAAAAATCATCAGTTCCAACTTAGGTAGAATAAAGTTTCTGCTTACAAAATTTCAGGTGCCTCTACCTTCCAAGGAGTGAAATGTTTCAAAAATTATGTAACTCAGTGTAACAATTATTTTATATTCAATATTTTTTTCTCCAATAATTGAACCATTTCAAAATTTTGGCAACCTAATCTAATTAGAGATGTTAAGGCTGCCATGTCACTGCTGAATGAGACAATGACTTCAGTGTCTTTCCTAATTACAATAAGGTCTGCATGGCTTCCTGTCCACACACCCCCCGAGGGTCAGGATTTTTCAAAGACTTTTACCACATTCTCATGACTAGAATCCCCAAGGATCTCTTTTTAGTTTAACAAGCAAGCTACTTTTCTAAACACAAAACAAGTGGTTTGTACCCATACAATCTATTTATCTTGTGTCAACACAGTGCTGAATTATTGTATTAATAAAGAACTCTATAGTAAGGCACAGTAAGACCAATCCCCTGATTGTGTCAGTGCTGTAAGTAGTTTTCTTCTTGTGTGTCACAGGCTGCCACCAGCAGGTCATCTTCCCATGCCCTAATTTACTGAACAAATTTGAACAGGCATATAAGTGCTGCTTTTATTATTCATTCCTCCATCTGAAACATGTGGGATGTTTGGCTTTTCATGTGCTGCCTGCCCCCTCTAGTGTTCAAAACAGGAAAAGGAAAAAAAAAATATATGGTTGGCTTTTACTTTTCAGATTTTTTGAAAAATTAGAGGATAAGAATGTAATACAGCCACATACACCAGGGATGAGAGAGCCTGCCATTTTTAATCACAATTTCTGATATTTCATATTCTGGAGGTTCTGACCTTTAGAGTCTCCAGCTTTATTTAAAAGAGTAAATATCTAAGATTCATTATTCCTTTAGAAACTCCTAACATCTGAGGGGCTAACAAAAAAGAAGCAAAAAAATATCCTCCAAAAGATTTCCACAGTGTGCTGCCTGTCCCACTTCTATTAAGTGTTCAGTCTGTTTCCTGCTGGCTTTTCCAAAGCTGCCTGTGCGCCCCTCACTGGCCACCCTGTACCGGTAATGTCTCCTTGGTTATCTGAAAAAAAGGTCATAAAATTTGTCAAATCAAGGCTCCCTCCCCAACAGGAAGTGAGATGAGCATGTCCTGATAATAACAAGTCATCCATCTCAAGGTTGGACACGTGCTTCCCTCCATCTGCTAGACAGCAGTGGCAACTGGCTTCAACTGAGCATGAACGATTCATGGGATGGAAAGCTGATGAAATGCTTCAACAGTGCTGTTATCTGATCTGTGCCTTGGCCCTGTCCAGTCCCAGCCCCTTACCTTGCAGGCCGTAGAGTTGGCCAGTGCTGTGCTGTCGTGTGATGTGCTGCCAGTAGGCACTGCGGGGCAAGGGCACCATGGTGCTGAGGGACACGGCTCGCTCGCTCATCTTCATCTGAAGCTGCAAAGCAGTAAACTGATGTGAAGGAGACAGTTGTGCTTATCACACATCCTCAGAGAAAAGACACAACCACACCCTGTAAAGATTTCTAATGATGTTGTCAACACAGCCTCTCCCTCCATCCATCAGCCCGCCCTATACCAGCAGCAGTGACTAACCCCAGTTAGTCTCCACGGGCACACAGCACTCAGGTTAGGAGGCCACGCTATTATTGTGCGCCAAAGCTCACCTTTGTGCTCCCCTGGTCCTGCGCTAGCACTGCTTCCCCTGAGGGGAGTTTTAACTCAAGCAGCTGAAACAGAAATGGGGAGTCAGTGGAAGATAGGAAAGTACTCCCCCTTCAGCAACAAAGCCAACGGAGAGTCTCCCAACTACTTCCCAGCTTCCCAAAGCTAAGTACAACCTTAGCACACCAAGAACCTGATTAGACATATTTCGTGTGAATTCATTAACACACATATGCAAACTGACAAAAGTGTTTGGATTTTATCACAAGCTTCACAGTACAGCTAAAATTCTCTTTCCAAAGCTCTAGCAAACATTAGTTCAAATATACCAAATCTGTACTTGCCTTTGTCTAATTTATAAAGTTGCTTTTTACAAAAAGAGTAAGCTTTTACATTTTAGTTTCACAAGACCTGAGGTGAAAGAATCTTTTACAAGAATTTCAGTATATTTTGGAGCAAAAACAAAACAAGTGAACCAAGCACAGAGAGGAGGCAGATAAGAGACATCATTGAAGTGAGCCATTTTGAAGTTCTTCAGAGGTGCCAGCAACCCTCAACCTCCTCTCTGTATTGTGGATGCTGTGCCTGTGATATCAAGGTAAAATATATGAAAACAAAAGCAAACCCAGACCAACCCTTGCTCTTAAAACACCCACCTCCAAGTCAGTAGGATGCGAGTCCCTGCACAATGCAAGTTTCCACCTACACCACACAGTGTATTTATCACAGCTCCTTCACTGAAGGCCCGGCACCGCCTGCGGTGTCACCACACACAGCAGCACCACAGAAACAAACAACAACCTCCTACTGGAGCAGAACCAGCAGAGCATTGTGAGGCTGGCATTTCCTAATTGGAGATGCTTCTTGGGTGGTTCGACTTACTGGTGAGTTGAGCAACAAGCTAAGGCAGTTTGAGCAACATGTCTGCTCTCAGGAGAGGAGCAAAAAAAAACAAAAGGGTATCTTCAGAGGAAAAGGAGAAGCAGCTGGGGAAAGAAGATAAAAGACACAGAAAAGGGCCAGAAGAGGTGCCCCTCCTGAACTCAGTCAGCATGGGAAGAAATTAAAAAACCTGCAGCTGGAGAAAAGATGCTATGTCCTGAATACACGGCACTTCATCAAAACACCTCGGACTGTGAGCTAAAGCAGCCTAAATGATGATTGATTTCATTCTCACAATTAACCTACTGTATCTCTGTGGCAACCAAAGAAGTAGGAATAGCTTGATAATGACCTGGCTTTATTCCTTGGAAGCACCCACCACCGTAAGCTGGTCAAAACCTGCCAGAATTGATATGCTGGAACACGCACGAGCACTGGCTGCAAGCAGAGGACCAAATGAGACATGTAACTCCACGTATCATTAATATAACAAATAATTTGTTAACTGGAGGGCACCTAATCCATAGCCTCTCACCCTCTTCCTCCCAGGGGATGGTGCTGAAATGGTATCAGGATCCCCAAAGCGGTTCAGATGCAGCTCCTTCCACACATGTCAAGGATCAAATTATGCCAAGTCACACTTAAACCAAAGGAGAAGCAAAGAGGGCCAACACAAAGCCACCTCAGAGCTCTGCTGGCTACGAGCAATCCATGGAGAAAGGGGATGGAGAAGCTGCACACCCAAGCAGCAGCAACCAGAGCTGAAAACAGCCAGGGAACTGCGATGCCACCTCTTGTCGCTTCTTGGCACCTGAGTGAGAGATGTGCTGAGCTACACTAAGGCAGCTCGCTGGGGCTGGGTCAGGTGCTGTTTGTTCCCACAAGTCCCACATAAGTCCCAGGGAAGGAAGAATAAGTATCTTCTTTTTTGTGTCCTGCTTTAGCAAGCAGCAAAGCTAGCATGAGACACACACTTTTCTTTAAAAGAAAGGAAAAAAAAAAAAAAAAAGAAAAAGGAATTAAAGAAAGAGCAAGAAAAAAGTTTTTTCTCTCAAGATGGAATACACAATTCTCAAAGACTTTGCAGAGCATGTTGTTTTTAAGCAATGTGCACTATGTAAACCTTCATCTTGGGACACCCACATGGAGAGCGTTGCTATGTTTTTGAGGTGATTTTCTTCCTAATGAAGTAAATTTATTAATACTATTAATACTCAACAGTAATTAAAATAAAACAGCTTCAGAAATTAAAGGGCACTAACGCATCGCTGTTGTTTTGAGTGGCTTTCTTTTACTGTCTTACGCTATTAGTCAGTATTCTTTCACTCCAGAAGTTAATGAGCACCTTTTCCACTCCTAATTATCAATCTCTCTGGAAATGGTCAGAGAGGATAGCAGGCCCTAGCCAAGACTGACGTACTCGTACATCAGATGGATCTAGCACAGAGCACACTCCTCGGTTGTAGAGAGGGGAAGAAGAGTCAGCCAAAGCTGCCAGTAAACCGGCTGATAATATCTTTCTCTGAAGCGCTGAGCTTTAGCTGCCAAAACGGAGAGGTTCACTGTTATTACTTCTTAGCGAGATGTCAGGCTGTAATGTCTTTTTCTAAAGCAACCTAAACCGCAACCAGGCAGAGATGACAGCAGTCAAGTCACAGCACTACTCCTGTCAGTTTTCATGGCAACCAAATATTCATGACAATATGTCTACAATTTGAATAGATATTTTCATTTTATTGTCTGGCAGTGCAAAAGCGAAGGGAAAGGAACAGTTGGGCGAGGTGAGTTACCACTGACCAGAACGGCTTCATGCATCGCTAAGCAGAGCCAGCTCTTTTTTGCCTTTAAAAGAGAAAAGGGAGATCTCTGAATTTGCTGAAAAGGAAAATAAATAACACCCACTTGTGAACGTGTGTCAGACTCCAGTCAGCATATGCTCAGACCTCACCAGAAAGCCACAGCACATGAATAGAAAGTGTCAGGCTGAGGCTCTCAGCTGAGGAACCCCTATCACGTCAATTTTCCACATGCGTTTCAGCAGCCAGAGTCGGTTATAGTCACAAACTGAACTATAAAGCAAGTGACTGCTAGGGAGGTGACAGACACATTATAGCCCACGCTCTCAACAGTACTTGGCAGCTTTATTTGCTCTTTCAGCATGGGACATTCAACTCCCTTTTCTTGCACAGTCTCCAGAAGCCCTCAGGTAGCTTAATACAATCTTCACCTCCATCTCAGATGATCACATCAGTGGTAGCAGAGGCCAGGATTTCAGCTTAAAACAGAAGATGCTCGGTGAAGACTTAATTTCTCACCACCAGTCTTCTACTTTTTTACTTTTATTTACCCTTTCAGTAAACAGTAGCTCAAGCTTCACTGATACAAAATTTCACACGGGGTTAATAATTCTTAGAGATAAAAACAATGTAAGACAGCTCAGACAGCTGAGCATGAAGTGCAAATATCTAAAATAAACGCCTTTTTGATGTTTTCAATCAGAATTAAAATACAGGGGAAATAAATCAATTTGAATGATGAAGATGACCTTTACAAAGTATTTTGTAAATTGCAAAAGTAGCTAGCTGATTTGTACACTGATATAATGGTCCTCTGTCCAAAGCTGTAAATCTGAGTATCCTTGAAACCAAGAGAATGGACTAAGTCTTGCTGAGCATTTTGGAATCAGACACTTCTATGACAGACTTGGGAAACTCATGTTCAGGGGCATATAGACTCATCTGAAACAATTATATTCAGCTACTAAATTACAAGACTTCCAGTTCGACAGGAATATGTTCTTATTCCCCATTTAGCGCTCTAGTGTATATAAAACTAGATTTAGAGGGGTGGGGGTTGGACACAATATTCATGAAAAAGCTTTTCGAGGTTGTACAGCTGCTCTCTATTGAAACTGTGCATCTGTTGACTGTATTGGCACTTGTATATTGGAAATTTTTACAGCACAGCATCAGACACCACATATTAAAGATGCTATTACACAAATGTAAAACCACCATATATGAAATTGCCCAAAAGCCCATTCATTTCAGGAGGCTACAATTAATTAATTTCTCTCTTCTTTGGAACTGAAATTGTACTCTCAACAGGTTGTACTGCTGCTGGTGTGCTACAAATGTTTGCTAGCTAGGCTGACCTAGGCTAGGTCAATTTTAATCTGCTTAAATTAATTACTAACAAGTGCTCATCATCTACTTATCTGTCTCACATTAGATAATTTTAGATAGTCTTGAATAGAATTTGCCTTCTCTAACTGGAAGTAGAAAATTCTTTATTTTGAACAAAAGTCAAAGATAGCAAAAATGGTGTTAGATGATACTTTACCAGGAAAGGGAAAAATACCAGCAATGCTGGCTGCAGATCACCTACTAGCTTTAACATTTTTAACTGAAAGAAAGGAATGTGTCAAGCTTCTTCCTAGTAAGCCTGGAAGGGTTGAAAAACTTACGAGTTCCACAAGTTGTAATGACATTTTCTGCTTTATCTCCACTGAGTCATCTGGTTAATACTGAGATAACTCATCATTACAACTTACCCCTGAAACCAAGATATTAGTAGAATCACTAAAAGGATTAGACATGGATGTGGTTTTGTTCATAAAAATGGAAAGACATAATTCTTATTGCAGATTACATAAATCTATTACTACTGCCTGGAATAGAGATGTTGTTTATGGCCAGGCTCTTGCACAGTTTTCCATTCTGGGTATTTTATACATTCCAGAAAGTCTTATCTTCAGGATACTAATTTTGTTGTTAGAGTCAATCTGTGAGCCCTGTCACGCAGAGACCAATTGTGATACGTCATTTACAAAAGATCCCTTTTCATTCTACAGGTTTCATGAGAAAACAAAGAAATGAAATGGTAATATCTGGAAACATGTTAGATGCAAGTGCCATAAAACTGCTATTCTTCAATGGAATGTTTTTGGAGATCCCACACCATCTCAGTTCTCAGTCCGTATGTTAGCTTGCATCTTACACTCCTACATCTCCTAGCAGTAATGAGTGTCATAAAATGAGTTTTAGACACAAAAAGCATTTGCGGAAAACAGACATCCACTGAGGGATCAGACAAACACGTCTAGTCCTCCCCCACAGTTTAATCTGAACCATATGACTCTATCCAAATCATCCTTCAAGTGTAGACATAATTAACAAATGAAAACTGAGCATGAGCCATAACATTTTGCAAATAGATTGATGATAAATGTTTCCAAACAACAAACTCATGATGGTGATTAATTAAAAGAATATAGCGAGAATGCCGACTATGCTGACAGGAGCTTATCATCTCTGAACTAAGTCACACTTATTTACAGTTTTCCAAATGCAAAAATCATGGACTAAGTTCCCCTATTGTTCAGATTCTTGAAAAGCAATCCCAGTTATATATACTGGCCTAAACATAATAATCGAGATAATTTATTAAGAACAATAATCAGACTGTTTGCTATCTGTGAATCAAAAGACAAAGTCACAGTGAAGAAACACCATTCACTGGTGCCCAGTGCAGAATAACAAGCATGGTGAGCAGCCATACCATTGAATTTTTCACGCTCTGTAACAGGCGCTCATGTTGTTCTGCTATGGCCAGAGCAGCCGAATGAACCTTCTGATAGATTGCTTCCCCATCTCGTGTCTGAAAGATGAATAGTCCTTCTCCTGTGTCACACATTCTGCCAAAGCAAGAACAGACGGGATCCAAATGTGAGATTTTCACTTGCTCACGGTGATCTCAACTTTACCTTGCTGCTCTAGAAGCGTTATTGCACAAGCGGTAGGAAAGCAAAAGGTTGTTGAAATATGGAACAAAGTTATCTATATGGGCTTTAACAGCCCTAGTCCAACCTCACTGTTTTAATCCATACTGGTATTACTCTTCTCAAACACAGACCCAGGTGAGTATCACTAATTTCTCAAAAGTGCTTAGCCTCTAGAGAGTTCATGCACAACACCCAGGTTTATAAATTTTAGACTAAAAGGTGGGATTAATTTGCCTTCTTTCCCTTTCAGACTTTCAATATTGCCTGTAATGAGTTTTGCAGTTTTGTCTTCCACTTGAAACCCTAGATACATTATCCTTAGCATCCCAATTGCATTGTCTTGCAATGACTAATGCATGATCAATGACTTAAAAACATCATATCCTTTTTCCTGAGAGAACAAAGTTCTGCAGCAATACAGAGTATAAGCATTTGAATGCCTTTTCTCTCTCCAGATAAGTTAATTGTAGGATGAGATTCTCTTTTACTATTACAATTCTTTAATTTGCTTATTTAAAATAATGCAACCATAACCCTTTGAAAGAATTTGGTAGTTTAGTTCAATGAACCAATGCTCCAACTTCAGCCACACAAAGACTTCAGCTCATTAAACATAAGCTGCAGGAAGCAACAGAAAACAGCATCTCTAAAACAAGGAACTGCATTCAAATTTCTTATAAACCCATTTGTCAAATAGATAGAAAACAGGAATCCCTTCTCCATTACTTTATTTTGCTTCTGGGAAACGACTTGGAAACACTCGTCTACCCTTCAAATGCTTATCTTTGCACAGAACTGCTTAAAATCTGTAACTCCATGCCCAAAGGCCCATGTTGTACAAATTTTGGAATGATGTTCACCTTTTCTTCACAAACATGTCTATCTGATCCACTGTCTCATATACAACTCTTGATTTAAGAACAAGCCTATACATAATATACAGTGCTGTCAGCCTCCACCTGGCATCCTCTGGGATAGCACAGCTCTCCCACCCCATCGTCAGGCACCTCCTTTGTTGAGCCATTTCTTCCATTCAAGGTGCAACCTGGATTTAAGAGCTATTTTTATTTGTTTTAAATATTAGTATTAAAACCTTTATTTTAACAGAAGGTACACAACCAGCCCTCTGTCTGAAGATAAGCTCCCACATCCTTCGACAGCCTTCAGAAGCTGTCCAGAGCACCACCAAGGAAAGGAACACACTACAGCAAACACACACCTACCTCCCTGCTTCAAACGTGAACCAAGATGGGTCCCGCCCGTAGCGTCGGAGGGCACTTAATGGCCAAGAGATGAGTTTTAGTCTGGGATTCTGGATGTCCCAAAGACAGATATTCTCAAATGTTATCTGCAAGGTACATTCCCCATGCACATCTAAATTAGGGGATGGCATCAAATACACATTGAATCTCTCTGGGAGAAAAACAAAAGGTTAGTCTAAAATCCCTGCCCATTAACTGTGCAAGTCATTAAAGGAATTTCCTACTTTCCACCTCTATTACAAGATTTTATTTCCACTTTGAACAATTATTTCAAAAACAAAGACTCAATTCCTTCCAATAACTCAATAAACTCTACGTTTGGAGCAGTTAGAATGCTACACTTCAAGGGCACCAAACATTTGGTCATGTGTTGAGATACAAAAGAACTGCACCATCATGATCTTGATATTTGCAAACAATATAACTGTGTGCATGAATAAATATATTGCAAATGCTTTTGCGCATATAATTAGTTAATTTGCATAGGAAAGTGAAGTAGCCATGGGCTCAGCTTTTGCATGCAATTATTATTATTATTTATTATTTGCTTTACAAAGTTGATAAATGGCCTCAGTCAGAGACTGAAAGTGTTGTACAGACATGATACAAGGAAACACAACAAAAAGACAGTCTCCATCTCCAAAATCAGCTAACTTGTTTCAGAAATAAAAGAGTTATTCCAAAATAATTCTAAAACCCTGAATTGCAGCACTTAATTACCACGCTCATTATCTCTGGCAGTAATAAATATATATATATATAAACAAGAATAGTTAGGAAAAACAATTTTTGGTACCAATTTATTTTGAATGTTCACATGCACAATCCAAAAGACTTAAAAATAATGCAATTAAAGATTTAAAAGGTCAGTATTTTATATTTTATGTACCTACCACTCTGCTCCCTCTCCACTCCTGATGCAAGCAAGTCAGGCTCTCCAAGACTAATGTCATTAATCCGTGTTCCAAGACACTCCATCTGCAGTACCTTGCACCACTCATCTGCCTCAAGTTCTGTATAAATGCCCAGAAAATCTGTGTGTAGGTATAATACATTTATGATTTCACAATTAATGCTCTTACGCTTTCTCATGTGCATTGCCGTTTTACCCACCTGACTCACAAGCAAAGGTTTTGGAGGTGTCATCATTAAAATATATCCCAACAGCATGTTTCTTTGTGCTTTTTGGCATTCGTGAAATATTCTTCACATTATTGAGCTCTGTGACCTGAAAATAAACACAATTTGGACATTTATGGGGACCTTAAAATATATATATCCATTATTGACTGGAAAAGCTGAAATAAAGAATTAAACCAAGTTGCATAAGATGGAGAAAGAGACAGAGCATGAACATGCCTACGATTGCTGTTAAAAAAATGTATCCTTGATATGAATCACCTCAGGCAATCAACTTGAAGACCCTGGATGCTGAAGCAGTCGTATTCTTGAGTCCTTCCCTATCTGCATGTAAGCTTCAGTGCAATCCAACCTAAAAAGAATTTAAGCCAAGAGGCAGGTAGAATCAAGTAAGACATGAGAAAGACCAATCAGTTGTAACAAAAGAAAAAAAGAATTCATGACAAAAATCTAACACATTCACCCATTTGGAGAAGAAAATCCAATTCCAGGACAGCTTTCATCATGGAGGTCAAAACTGGTGAAAAGCTGTTGTCTGAACTATTTTTGATGGAAAGTTGATGATTCGTTAGAATGGTCCACTAAAAAAAGTTGTAGTATTTAGAAAGCTTTTTATCTTTAAAGATTCACAAAATAAATTCACAGAATTGTCAACACAGATTTCTGTTAACTGGTTGCCAAAAACTGATTGGAAAAATATCTTTCACTCCAACAAAAATGGACACATATATATAGAGAGAGAGGGTATACAGCTTTAACGAATACCTACTATAGTTCCTTCACATTTCTCTAACATTCAGTTTTCACGCTCACCCCCATAAATAACATTCCTAAGTTTGACTGAGTATAAATTCTTCATTATTTTAATTCTTTATAATACGAAGGCTAATACTCCAACATAGAATCAGGAAGCTATATTTAAATATTCATTATTAGAAAATGTTTTTCTGATTCTTTTACATGTTAAGGACTGAAGAGAATAGGAATTTAACAAAAACGTTCCCAAAGCTGTAATCTGCAACTTTAAAACTTCATTACTTTGGTCTCAGTAGTCCTGAGGTGGAAGATTCAGGAACTGCAAAGAGATATCAGTGTTGCAGAGTCCAGCAAAAGAGACTGTTTCTCTAAAGGACCTTGGGTTAACCAACACACCCATTGCATCTCTCTGGCCCTTCATCCTAAAGTCACTTTCTCCTTAGAGTCCATTTATTGCTTTTTCCTTTCAGCACAGGAGTACAGACAGTTAAAAATCACAGTTTGAAGAAAGACCTGAAAAGGTAATCTGTGTATGGAAGGGACGGCAGTCAGCGAGCAACCTATCCCCAGAATAAAAATAAGCAACACACCGATGTCCCCAAATTCACTCTGTGTGCAGTAGCAAAAGGAATAACAAATGAAAGAAACATTCTGTAGGGAACACACCAACCTTCTCCATAGCTGCCAAATTTAGAATTCAGGTTTTTCTAGCCTCCAGGCTCAAAATTTTGAGAAGTTCAAAATTTTGAGAAGTGTCAAAACTGAAAACTTCTTGATTGTACTTAATTTCGCATGAGAATTTTTTACTCTTCCAGGAAATCCTATGATGGAAGTACATCCTCCAGTGCTAACAAGACACTGACAAACTCATTGCTAAATATGACAAATCTGTCATAGCTTATTCCCATCATACTCAGGCACATGACAGGTCAAGCACAAATTGCCAGCTGCCAGGTTCAGCTCTCACGTCCTTCTCATTTGCCAAGAAAATATGCAAATACAAGAGAAAAAAAAATGTCTTTTTCATTCAGGACAGTAACTACTCTGACATTTATACTGAGCACATTCACATTTTCTGCAAGTGGACACACTAATTAAATTGGTACCAGTGACAAAGTACGTATGAACACAAAAGTTAGCAAAAACAGAATTTGGCCACACATTTTGGTAACAAATCATTTAATTGCCTAGGATTTGTCCTAATTGAAAGCTCATTTCTTAAAAATCAGTTGCCTAACACTCCTACTGCTGGATATTGCAGTAATTGTCTCTAGTGTGATGAATCCTAAGGATGCAGCTGTGGGGCTCAGGGAGCTGAAGAAAGGTTTATACCAGAGGGGAAGCAGAAAACTGCTTCGCTTTGCAGTCTCAGGAAACAGAAGTTCTTTGGGCAGCTAGGAGGCTCAGAAGAATCAGCTGGTTTCCTACTGCCCATGCTCCCCATCAGCTCCTGGGGCTACGCAGGGCATGTTGCCCCTCAGCCCCAGGCAGCCTGGCAAGGGAGGCAAAGCACACTGGGCTGTGTGGGATGTTGCTGGCTCTTGCACAGCACTGGAAAAGGACAAACAAACCAATCAGTATCACTAATGACCCTATCTTCAGCCTGAGTCATGCACTTCTGGGCCAGATGAGAGCAGCTCAAAACACTGCTGGGAACATGAGAAGGACAAGATTAGAGCATTTGCTGCCAGTGGATACTAAAGGAGCGTCACTTCTGATCCCAGCTTCTTTTACTAGGACTCCACCCCAATCTCCAGCTCACACCTACATACCCAAAGATTCCTGGCCTTGCGCACCTCTGCTTATGTCTTTATCATACCCATGCTGTGGCTTGTGGACTGGAACATCTCTGAACCCAAACACCAGGACTGAGATTTTCTCCTGCCAGTATCTCGTATACCTGCATCTGCCCTCTGGTCTATGGCTTCACATCAACAGCTGCTGGTCATTCCAATTTGGCCATTCCAATAAGATCTCGGCATACGGAGTAGAACAGAAACCACAGCCATACCTAGCAACCAAATTTTTTCTTTTGCTTTAGTTCTCCCAGTCAAGAAAACCTCACCATATCACACAGCAGCTCCTCCTTCACCCCATAGCCCACAACAGCAGTCATTTCTCCTCTCCCTGCGTGAGGAAAGTCAATTTATGCTACAATCACTTCAGGGGACCACTAAGGAGTTATGCATAACTCAAGGTGAATAGAAGCATGAGGGCAGATGTCTTGACCAGATAGCATAACACCCAACTGGATTTTCCTTTAGAAATGACTAAATATAGAATTGCGAATATAATGGCCTCATTGTTTTGGAGTCGAGAATAGCCATATTTTTAGCCTTCTTATAAAATGCTCTGACAGGCTAGGTAGTTACAAATAAGTACTTTCCTACAGTAATCTCAAAGGCAGAGTAATATATTCCAATAGAGATTTTCCAAGACACAGCTCATGCTTGAAATCCCAAAGTTCATCCTTCTGAACACAAATTTATTTTCATTTGATTATGCCTTCTCCTACACTTGCTCTGTACTCCCTCTAACCATGCTGTGTTATGAGGCAGACAATGCAGATTACTGGAGACATTACTTATCTTATACATTGCCTTCACAGTATTCACAGAGGTCTATTTTGCTTTTCCGAGGTATCAACCAGCAGTTTATTCATCTTTCTAAGGGAAAACTGTCCCTGTGTCAACATGATGGCAGGGGATAGAAACATAGAGCCCACTGTGGTGTCAGTGCAGGCCCAACTCAGGCTGAGGGGCTTGTCCCTGGCCTGCAGAGTGCGAGTTTGGGGAAAGAAGAAAGGCTGCAGAGACATGACTGAAGCCATAGCCTGAAAAACAGCTAAATTATATATGGAATTTTTCGATGTTGTTACAAGGCTCTAACTCAAGATTCTTCCTCATCACTTTGTCCCTGCCTTCAAGTACTCTGTGCTGGGATAGGTGAGGAGGCAAAGGAGACCAACCCAGTGTAAGTCCACACACTACAGACAGGTGTGGTAAGTTGGTGCCTCCAGGAATCACCTCATGTACTGTGTGAACACAGAGTGACTGTACTGAAAAGCACTGCTGCCATGTACCACAAACACGTTCCTCCTGAGAGCTCTGGCTCACAGCCTAGTCAAATAAAATTGCAGGTGATTGCATCCCTTGAGTGTTATCTTGAAGATGTACTGAAATCAATAGTGTTGTGTCATTAATTTCACTTATCATCAAATCATTTGTAACTCATGTTTTAGCCATGAACTGGGAGAAAGGGTATTTATATTTGGAGAACTGCTAGCTACAACAATCAGCAGCCTGGGGATTATTTTGTTCTGCACTGACTGCTTCAGAGTTCTTGCATAATGGCATTTCACACCATATAATCTGAAAGTCTTCACATACATCTGAAAACCTCCTGATTGCATTTGTTTCTGTAGAACTTTACAGGCTGAGACCAAAACATCTCACTCAAGCGTACTGGACAGGCAGCCCTCAAGCCTGACCTCTGCCCAGCTCCAAATATCTACAGTGACATGCACATAGTCTTGTCTCTTCTCGGGTGGTTTCAGACCAAGGTTTTCTGCAGTACATGACTTAGTACACACAAAGAACAACAGATGGACCAAACCTGGATCTCTGGAAACCCTTCTGAAGGCTATGGCACAAGTGATAGCATCCAGACAAATTCAGTCTTTCGGCTCATGGATGCTTTAGGTCCTGGATACAACCCTGTGGCACCTGATTTTTATGGCTGGCAAAAACAGTCAGTAAGCAGCTGCTCTCTCCTCCTTTTGGGGGCTGAGCTGCTGGAGTTGTCTTCACCTTTCAGAGGTACTCTGATATGGTACCATCCCCCTTCTTGTAAGACCCATTTTCAGCCAAGAAGCTGTTCCTGCTGCCAAGACTCAACAGCGCACCTGTGCTCCTAAGGGAGAGCTTGTCTAAAGATCACTTGTTATTTGACCTGCTGTGCCACCCAGCAAGGTGCTGCAAAATGCCATCATTATCCCAGGTGCCTAAATAGCCTCCCTGTTGCTCACACTTATGCAACAGATGGTTCAAATTGTCTGGCACATATGCACCAAATTCACACTAAGTGGCAGGCTGCTAACATCCCCTCCACTGAGCTTTTGGAAAGGAGTCAGAAACAGACACCAAACACCTGCAAGTATTCGAGGCTGAAGTTTTATTTTTTGCATTTTTGAAATAACTCTCCTCCTGATAGACTCTTGCAACAGAATGTTTTCATAGTTAAATACATTTGTTTTATTTGTCTGAGATTAATAAGTAGAGTACCTTCCCTTACATACTTCCACCCTCCTCTTTACAGTCAGGACTCTTTTAC